TAACTACCACATGGTTCGCCCTAAGGTGGACGTTAAAAAAAGAATCAAGAACCAATGGATGAGGCACCTCAATATCAGCCGCTTGTGGCTCAGTCCAATCCAATGGTTTGAGCGACAAACATGAAACCAGCAAAAATGGCGTCACTGCAATGGCAGATTGAACAACGATGCCTCCCCACCCATGATTGGCTGATTGACCGAACAACAACACGAACAAAAATCGGTGGCCTTACCCTGGTGTAAGTCCTGGTGCAATAGATTCCGCTCATGTAAAATTCAAGAAACCATCCAGCACATCTTCCTGTAGTGCTGGGCGTTCGAAGCTTGCCGCGCACCGCGTCAGGGAGGAGGAGCCCGGGCGGGGTGACGCGCACGACAGGAGCGCACGCAGCGGGGCGTTTGCGCCCTGATGGGAAGCGGGTCTACGAGTCATGGTGGATCGGCTTTGTAGTACACTTTCTGTTCTGACCACGAGCGTTGTCGGCTGATGATTGCCATGCCAGGCGCATGGAATCAGATGCACTGCCTTCATTGGTGATAACATTGAAAGAGGGGCCAGAAGGTACATGGGGAGGGAAAGCAGATTTACTCCGGCTATGAACGCGACTGGGATGGCGTTTCAGCGGGGTCGGACAAAGGGAGAGAGGCGCAGACCTACGGTGGAAGAGACACGGAAGAATACGAGCAGGGCCAGAGGAGGGGCTTTATCATCATTATCATTACCATCATCATCATCATCATCATCATCTTCATCATCAACGTGGTAGTCAGCATAGTTGTCATCATCATCATCTCCATGATCAGCATCAAGGTAAGTAGGTATAGGAGGATGGTGTTGGATTGTCATTGTCATCTTCATCATTGTCGTCGCCGTCGTCATCATTAAAATCATCATCATCTTTTTCATTATCATGCTTTTTAACATCATTTTGACCTCTAGTATTATTATCTCATTATCATTTCATTAGCATCTCATTACGAACCTAAATAATTTACTCTAACTAACATCTTATTTAAAGTCTCATACATTCTACATCTCACCTAGCTTTAAAACTTTAAACTCCTCGTCTAGCTAACATAAATGGTATCTTTATTATATACCTAAAACTTCTTGGCATGGTAATTTTTAATTACCTAAAATTCCTATAATTCCTAAAATTCGCATCGCTGAATCTCTTTCACTTTCCAAGTAATTAGTACTCAAATCAGTTTTTTGAATATCATTTGAAATCCCTCGAATTTCTCTGGCGTATTTTCGAAATGTCAGCTGGATCTCTGGTATCTAGTTTCTCCTCTTTGAGAATAGACGTTTGTTCCTGATGGATGGGAGGTGAGGATCAGGGGAGAGCTTCACTCTGCAGGGGCGACACAAGGTGGGAGGTGAAGCCCTGGAGGGGGTGTGAGCAGAAGTAGTGGGTTACCTTATTCTGGGGTTGGGGTGGGAGTACTCACACCAGCGGGGGCAGATCAGGGTAAGGGGTAGGCAGAGGCATACTTGGGAGGGAACTGTATGCCTCTCTGAGATAGGGGGGGGAAGGTGGGACTGTCCCAAGTTGGGGCTGTTATGGCTGCCTCTCGGTAATCCATCTCGACGGAGGCAGCTTCGGGACAGGGTGGAAAGGAGGGGAGGGGGAGATTAACCGTAGGTGTAACATTATCATCATCCATGTTATATCATGCATCCTGGTTTTCTGAAATGCTGGGCGGCATCTGGCCTACTTCCTCATCCAGGATATAGATTTCAGAGATGATTGAATCAGCACCGATATCTGCAGAGTTGCCTTGTTCTGTGCTCCTGGTTCGTCGATGCCAGAACGACGCTGGCCAGAGCTGGGGTGTTGCCCTGTAACCTGCATTGGTAGGGGTATGAGGCCTTGTAGAGAGATTTGGGGTTTTGCTGAGGGAGGAAGGCAATCCAAGTGACGAACTGGGGGGGCTGCCTTGACGACCTATGGGGCTAGGAATAGTCTAGGCGGCGAGAACAGGTCAGCTATGGCTGACATTGGTTAGGAGGGCATAGTCTCTGAGATGTAAGGCCTTGGCATAGGGAGGGCTAGGAGGTGCTCTAGGAGTTGGAGGCCAGTGGTGCTGATATAGCATAGTCTTCTAGTTTTTTACCATAATCATCATCAGCATAATCATCTTCATCAACATCATCATCATCATTAGTATCATTATCTCATCATTGTTATATTAAGCTTTCTGGTGTTCTGGAATCTTTGGACAGCATCTAGTTTTCTTCCACATCCGGGATATAGGATTTCAGAGATGGTCGAACCCGGACCGATATCTGCAAAGTTGTTCTTTTCTGTGCCCCTGTTTTGCCGACGTGAGAACGACGCTGGCCGGAGCTGGTGCGTTGCCCTGTAACCTGCAAAGGCAGGAGCGTGAGGCCTTGTAGAGAGATCCGGGGGTTGCCGAGGGAGGAAGGCAATCCACTGGCGACTCAGGGGGTCTGCTCGGTGGCGAGGAGAGATCAGCTATGGGTGACATTGGTTAGGTTGGTTTTGTCTCGGATTTACAATGTCCTGGTACAGGGAGGGCTAGAAGTTGCTCTAGGATTAGGAGACCAGAATTGTGGATATAGCATAGCTTACTACAATTAATACAATTTTTTATCACCATCAGTATCATCATCATCATCATCATCATCATCATTATCATCATCATCATCATCATTATTGTCACCACATGAGGGACGCTGAGCCTGGTTCTCAGCAAGTTCGGTCCGGTCTCTCCGGGCAGACTGTGAGGACCCCGGCCTCATTCCTCTTATTGGTAATATTAGCCTTGGGCACTGGGCCCCTTAAAAAAAAAAAAAACATCTTCCTCTAGTGCCTGGTGTAGTGCTTACATAGCAATGGGGGAACAGGATCTGGCATCAGATGGGAACAGGGAGTGACTGGCCTTGGGACTAGAGGGCGTCAGATGGGAACAGGGACTGAGTGCCCATGAACTGGGGGAAAACCATCTAGCACATCTTCCTCTAGCCTAAGGATCTATGAGGGGTGCCCCGATCCGCATTGCACCTATCTATAGGATAGAACAGCGACCAGATGCAGGCATCATACTAGTCGTACCAATCATAAACTCGGTGCACCGAGTGCTGGTCCTATTTTTCGCGACGTCATGACCAGCGTTAGTGAGCATGACCAGTATGACCAATGTGTCTATGTTGGGCTACCCTAGGAAAATCAAGCCTGTGGGGAAAGAGGGAGTAGCCCCCAAGCAAAGGTTTATTCATCTTGTTTCACCCCATGAGTTGTTTGCTAACAGTTACATGTGTATACAATTAAACCACCAGTGCTGCCATGTATATGGGACGCTGGACCCGTTTTCCAGCAGGTGATGCTCCCCACCAATAGATGGAGCCTCCCTCCTGGTGTTAGTGGTGTCTGCTCTTATCAGCAGCACTAACACTGGCGAGGGCGTGTTTTGTTAAAAAAAAAACAAAACAAAAAAAAAACACCAGTGCTTTTGACCTTTCCCTTGCCGAGCCTGGAAATGCCCTGCGCGCCAAGAAAGAAAGAGCCAGCACGGCCTTCTTTCTGCTGGTGGCGCCATCCATTTTGCCCCCGGTACGCTGACTCCCGAAGAACGCGCCGCGCCGCATGCACGGCCACGTCTTCAAAACATGGCTGGGAAATGGTTTAAGCGACATGGATCGGGTAGCAGGGGCCAAGGAGAAGTTCTGAGGGGAAGAAAAATAGTGATAGAGTACAACGATAATAATGGGTCCCTCCTGGCTAATAGTGGCTATGCACTGCACGGGAGCTTCAGGAGGGTGGGATAACCCCAATATCACGAATTAGGCGGGAGTGTAATGGTGGTGGCAGAGATCTTCCGGATTTTGGGGGCTACATATGAAAGGGCAAAGCCGCAAAAGACAAAAATCAAACCGGGGGGCGAACCCAAACCCAGCAAGACAAACAGGGTTAGAACGGTACATGGACTCAGGTTCCTGCCAGTAGGCTGTCTTCTTGCGATTGGTCTACCCTCACGCTGGCTGCGTTACACAGTCCTCTTGGTGGCCCTCCTCCTGTGCCTCACGTTTCTACCTGGCCCAGTGGAAACAAAAAAAAACTACAGAGCCCTTCTTTTTATAAAGATGTCAAGTCCCAGAGCGGCGATGGAAGGGAAAGAAGCACCCTGAAAACGCAGAAGGCACATGAACATGTAATAGTACTCGCTTTTTTTTTTCTTTTCAGGGAAGACTCACAATACAACTTTCTCAACTCAGCCCTGGTTGTAATTGCAGTCAGATACATCCGTGGTGGGTCATACTTACGACCAGATACACTCTCGCTGTGTACTCAGTACGCTCTCGCTGTGTACTCAGTTGGCCACTTGGCACGCAGAAAGGGCATACATATCTTCAGTGAAAGACTGATAGTTGACCACATGCATGGCATACCTTTCTGGGTCTTTTCGCTAAGATCAAGTGCACTGTATCTGTTCTGATCATCAGTTTTTAATATCTGATCCGTCGTCCATCAGGGGGGAAAAAGAAAATACTGCCAATTTTAGGGCAAATGAGCAGCTACTCGAGAGTAGAGGCTAGCCACATGAGAAGAAAGGAATTGCCATTGTACCCCTCATGTTTTGGAGAGATCCAGGACCATGACGTGAAGCAGGACATGCAATGAACTCGGAAGTGGTGACATCCAGGAGCGGATGATCAGAAGCAAGGACATGCAAATGTCCTAGTAAATTCTGACAGGGACGTCATTTTTATGGGGACAGGGTTACTCTGTACCCCCCTTTTTGCAATCCTTTGGTGATAAATAGCCTCTCCTTTCTATCTTCAGGCGCACACCGACCATAAGATAGACACAACACGTATTGGGCTTGCTAATTTCAATTATTATAACACACTTTGAGCTTCCCTTTCAAGCTATTGCATCTCATCTGCATGGCGAAGGGAAAATTACTGAGGGAGCCAGGACCATAAGGCCCTGTTTTTGGGGAAAAAAAAAAAAAAAAAAAAAAAAAGATCCTACCTTGCATGCAACAGAGCAGTAGCGATATGGGTCCTGGAGGCCTCTGTCACAAGTCTCACATGCGTTCCCTGGACATTTTCCTGGTCGTGGTTGTGGTCGCTGGTTCAAGAACACCACACGGGCACTATTAAGCGTGTATGGCTGCATGGAAATCAGCACCCATGGGCACAATCAACCAAAAAAAACATAGCTTCATTCAGTCAGTCCCCTGTGCAGTTGCCATGAACAATCTCTGAATAAGCCATCATAGCTCTCTCCATTCTTCTTCTTCTTCTTCTTCTTCTTCTTCTTCTTCTTCTTCTTCTTCTTCTAAGCTCCTGCAGCCAATGCCTCTGCTTCGTTCATCTTAAATATGATTCATATCTTATTGAATTGCAAGTCTGCAATCAAGCATTATCTCTGGGAGCAAGTGGGTGGTGTGGATTTTGCAAATGCTTGTCGGCACATGGACTTGATGATGGAAGACTGCAAGGTCATGAGTGGCAAGAGCTATTCTTAGCTGTGTATAGATCAATAGAAAGCTGCTTATCTTTATGCAGGCTGTCTAAAAGATCTCTCTGTGTGCAATATGGACTGTCGCAAGATCTTTGTCAGTCTTTCACAGTTTGAGCTGTGCCTCTTTGTACTGAAAGAGAGTGTGTGGCACAAACAAACGTGGAACATTGCATTTGTTTTCTTTTTCTTACAACGAAGTACGCCAGGAAAAAAAAGGGAAAAAAAAAAAAAAAAACGCACTTCATGCAATATTTGAATAAAAAAATAAATAAAAATAAAAATAATAATAATAAAATTGTGCCGAGGTATACCGCTTCTTCAATACGCAACTCTGGTATAGTGTCCGACACCCCTTCCCCCGAAAACTGCATCGATGCTACTATTAACATATCTGTACTCAAAATGAAGTGTGACTGTTGGGGAATTTTAGGTTAGATGATTGGTTGTTGATTGGATTGATTAGGTATACTGATGGACTGTGTACTGCTTTTGTTGGATATGTCCTGATTTTTGTTTAATTGTGGATTGATTGGATCACAATTTATAGTTGGATCGATTGAATGGTTGTCCATAGTCTGTTCCCTGTTTGATAATTAATCTGTGATTCTTACCTTGTCTTTGATTACTGTCGACTACGTGCGAATGACACCCTGCACTGAACACCACAAAAACGACTGAGTGGAACTGTGCTCTTTTGATCATTTGCTTCGGATTGTCAGGTCGAACTTTGTTGCCGCCACTGCTCATTGATTACACATTACACCCCTCGTGCTCGAATTCTGCCGATAAAAGATGGATCCCCAACATAATGAACTTTGTGATATGATCCGTAGGTGCTTTTTGACAGGACAAGAGGAGCCACAGATAGCTGAAAAGTATATTGCGACTACCCGTGATGAACCCAATAGTACAACCGTTGTTGATAAAGACGACAGAGCGTCTGCGGCCACGGTAGATTATCTTAGACAACATGGGGTGTTGGTGGTGTTCCAGGGCCTGGGCAATGATGTGTCTTTTGGAATCAAAGAAGATTGGATGAGATCGGTTGAATCGGGGTGGAGTTCGACGCTGTTGCGAGGCCAGCTTGGACGCATTAGACCAGAAGGACCAAACATGATCTCCTACTTGGCAGTTAATCATGTTCTTCGTGATTGGTTAATTAATACACTCTGCCAAGAGGAGAATGCGATCGTGGGGGGAAAAAATGTAAAGTGTTGTACAAACCCTGGGCGACGCCGGCTGAGCAAGCTAAAGCCAGGGAGTACCTTCAAGCCCAGATCTTTTGGATCAGGGTGCTGAGAGTACCTTTCCTTGTGATGCCGTTTCTGGAGGCAGCGATCAAACGAGAATTTGGTCAGGTGCTCAAAACCTACTCGCCGGAACAAAACAAAGCTGCGCCACGGTTGGTCAACCGCAGATTTGATTTGCATCCGCGAGCACGGTCCAGAGTCACCAAAAAATTGAAATTCAGGTCTCCACAAGGTTGGCATGTGGTCGATGTTGCCACTCAAGATACACCGTGGTGCCAAGAATGTCGCTGGTATGGCCATAAATCGGGTGCCATTAACTGTCCTAACAGAAAATCAGGGGCGTCCACTTCATCCACAGCCCAACCCGTTGTTTCATCTGCTGGTCCACAAGTAACGACGTTGTGCACTTCTCCGATGATAACTGCTGGGGTGACACTCCCAGTCACTGCACCGATAATAACTGTTGGGGTGACACTCCAAGTCACCACAGACCCCTTGCCGGCACAGTCTTCGGCTGTGGGATTGTCGCAGGCTGCTACTGTCACCCCCGTTGTGACCACAGCCTCTGTCACTCCCACAGTCATCACTGTCTCAGCAGGGCCGTCGGTGTCAACTGTTGTGACCACAACTGCAATGCCGTGCGGGAATGATGGGAATGTGATTAATGACCATGTGCCTCTAGCCCCTCATCCGGGAATAGAGGAGTTGATGCCGCTGGCAAAGGGTCAACCATTAGTGCACAGACAAAAAATATTGACTTTTGGACCAAAAACCTCATCATTGAAACCATATGAACGTGAGCGAACCAAACCAGACGACAAAAAGGTCTCGTGGGCCGATCTCATGGATAGAGAGGATGAATTGCAGCGAAGAATGGAGAAGGGCAAGGCCATAGATACAACAGAACAGCCACAGCGAGCAGAAATGCTTCCAGGTTCGATTCAAGAAGCTCAGAATGCTGGGCGGCCATGGGTAGTTGTCCCGTTAGTTTTTTCGGTAGTGGACGGTGATCTTCATCTTATGGCTGCTTACTCACAACAAGGACACCTGTTTTTGCCCCATTTTGAAATGCAATCAGAGCCGACTGAGCAGTCAGTGTTGACAGAAATCATAAAATGGTTGCAACCTGCGTATCGAGTGCGATCTTACCCGACGATGGATTGGGTGAGATTAACTCCGACAAATGGCCAAGGCCGGACTGATATCCTTTGTTTTCCGTTCATAGATGTGATTGTTAACTCGGCGGTCAAAGATCCGCCGACCTTGACGGACCTCAGATGGATTTCTTTGCAGCTGCTCAAGAACCCTGTGGGTCAGACAGCTGTCGACACAAGGATCTATGACTGTTGGACGGCGGCTCTTTTGTCCCAAAAGGACTCTCACGTCCCTTGGCACAAAAGTATTTTCACAAACCAATTTCTTCTACTCAAATGTGCAGATTGGCCCGAGATGTAAATAACAATGGATGTGATCCGATTGGTATCTTGGAATGTACGTGGATTGGGTTCGAGACGAGTAGCAATCAAACGTTYGTTGATCAAGACATTAGCCCGYAATAGAGGACTGCACATTATACTTTTGCAGGAAACAAARCTAAATGATGAAGCTATTATTGAACAATGGGGCTGGTGGTTGGGTCAACAATTYTGGTCASCGGCCCGAGGCACTCGCGGTGGAGTGGCAATTTTATTTTCCCGGACTGCTCCGTACCAAATTACAGATTATCGATGTGACCCGTTCGGTCGGTGGGTGTGGGTCCGCTTTGAGGTGTTCCAAGAACAATGGGCAGTTTTTAATATCTACGCTCCTGTTTCGCAATCGGAACGACTCGACCTTTTTAGATCTTTGCCATGGATAATTCCGAATGTGGACAATCTTATTCTGGGGGGCGATTGRAACACTATACTAGTCCCGGGAATAGATTCACTCAGACCGATGCCGGTGGGACCTGACGCACTGCAGTTACAGGAATTTGCTTTCCTTAACGGTTTCTCAGACTTGTTTCGAATGCTGCACCCAGTTGACCGAGGTTTCACCTTTTTTGCAGCAGGGGCTGTYCAACAGCAATRCATACCCCGAAGTCGTTTGRAYTWTTTTTTTGCATCAGATTCTTTGATTCTGAGGTTATCCAAGTGCTTTGTGGTGCCGTTTATGGGATCTGACCACCAACCTCTGTTTCTAGAATTTTTCCTCCGAGTTTCTGTTCGTGCAGGTCATGATAGGAAAGCATTGCCAGAATGGCTGGTGCGTACACAACAGTTCACTCAATTTATGTACGAATTCTGGCCGAAATGGCGCACCTCCAAATACCTGTTCTCTTCTGTGTCAGAATGGTATATGGGAGGCCAGCGCATAGTGCTACAGCGAGGCTTGCTAATTAAACGATTAATACTGGCTACCAACACCACTGTGCTCCAACAAATTAACGATGAGATGCAGGACATTATGAAGATGGCATCCAGCTCCTGCAATGACGAGCGGGCCCTTATGAACCGGATGGATTACTTGCAGCAACGTTGGACATATCATGTCCAACCGGCTATGAGGACAATCACCCATAATAAACATGTGGGTTGGCTTGTCCGAGGTGACCGTATGACAGCTTCTTTTTTTGCCAGCCACCGCCCACCATCCCGCCCACGTTTAATCTTGGCAATGCAACACCCGTTTGATGCACAGGCCCCTATGGCAACAGACACCCAATCAATCATAACTAATATATCCTTATTTTATGAAAGTCTGTTGGCCTCACAGRCCCAATACACGGAGCRGCAACTGCTTCATCAATTTCATGATGAAGTTTGGGCTAAAATTGACAAAAAGTTGGACGCAACACAAGTACAACATTTGGAGTCAGATATCACGATGCAAGAATTAACAGCTGCGCTGAGATCCCTGGCCTTACACAAAACRTCGGGGCTAGATGGGTTGCCCGCACAATTTTTCCRGAATTTTTCTYTGCAACTCTTACCGGAATTGCTACAAATCTGCCAGGCGGTCTGGAATGSGGCTTCCTTTCCGYCTCAAGTGTTGCAAGGTATTATCACCTTTTCTCACAAGAAAGGAGCTACTACAGACATTACTAATTATAGACCGATAACACTGATGCCTGCACTATACAAAWTTTTTACCAAAGTCTTGACGGCGAGACTTCAAAAAGTGCTTCCTCAGTTGATTCACCCCACACAAACTGGGTTTGTCCCTGGCAGACAGATCCTGCATAATGTGATGATTGTGGAGCAATTAGTGGAATATATATTGAGACGGGGAGATTGTTTTGCCATTGTTTTGCTCGATCTAGAGAAAGCGTATGATCGAGTAGGGTGGGAATTTTTGCAGGCGGTGTTAACATCCTTCGGATTTGGACCCAAATTCAAACATGCAGTGTCTAGTCTC